CTGAACCCAAAAAGGAAAACTTACTACAATGGAGAATCAACTGGAGATCAAAGGGCTTCGCATGCAGAGGCCAGCAGGTCGACAAATTCAAACTACAAGTGTACATGTACGCCTGGTCAGTCACAAATAAAAGTTTTTGGGAAGGCTAAGTTGACTATCAATCTTGCGGGTGGTGAGCCGGGGTCAAGGGCATGGGTCCCTCTAGCAGTGTAGCAGTCCTTCTTTCAAAAACAACCCCCAGGCACAAAAATCGTGGATTCCCTACGAACCACCCTGAATCCTACAGGTAGTAGCTTCCATTCCATTCTCCATTTTCTTTTCGTTTGATTCTCCACTGTTACCCTTAACCACTGAACCTCACCACTAAGAAACACGACCTATGGGCCTGTACCTCTGCACCGAGGATGCAAAGCTTTCCGACAACCCGGTAAGACACTTGTGCCAGGCAACCATGATACGAGTCAATCTATACCATGGAATTCATGGACATGGGTTCCGTATTGGGGAATATGTTAGGGAGTACCACGAACTACCAAAGGGAATCCTATGTCCTATGTCGACCCTTCATGATTCCTTGGTAACCTTCAGACTGATAGAACTTCATATAAGCCCAAGTAGCCTTGCATGCCCCAAAACCCAGATTCCATGTCATGCCCATTTCTTTCTCTAGATCCTCCCGCATGCTTCAGCCCAAAACTGTTTCAGTTTAGGTTGTTGTCTCGGCTTAAGCAGCGCTAGTTGGGGTGCACCACTCGTCCGCTCGAACTTCCCAGCTATTTTCTGCATGAAAGGAGTGAGTGAGCTGCTAATACACATCTTACACTCATGAGAATGATCTGCATGACCATCCGCACAATCCGTTTCCTGTCTGTTATCCCAAGCACGGGATCCTTACGCACAAGTCCTCAACAAAAAACCACAAATCCTAAGTCCTACGCCCTCAAAGCCAAAACTCTGAACCCTAAGCCTGAGCCTTACACTGTAATCTTAAGCTGCTGCCTCTGCAACCCGCGAGGAGTGCAAAGTGGTTTTGCGCTGGTTGAGCAACTTGGCGAGCACCCAATTAGATCAAGGTCCAGTGTTCAGGTATTTAGGGATTAGGGTTTAGGATTTAGACTTCGGGGTTTGGGACTTGCATGTCAGGGTTTGGGGTCAGTTTCAGCGAGTCCCAAGGTTTAGAGATTAGGGTTGGGGGGAATCTACTTCATCCGGAGCTCTGGGCTTCTTCAGGGGATACAGTATGCTAAGGGTCCCTCAAAGGGTTTAGGGTTTGAAGTTACGGCCTTTCCCCCTAAACCAACATGGAAAGTTACATAGGCTCCGTGTAAGGGAGGGTCCTTTCGGCCTTCCATGTCTGGGAAATTCCTACATTGAGCCCCGAGCCTCAAGCCGCGCGCTGCAAATCCACACAAATTGAGGAAGTTTACTTTCCTCCCCACAACACGGGAGCCCGAAAGGTGCCTTACAAAGACTCCTGTACTGCCGGTTGGAGGGTTTGGTTGGCCTTGGGAAAAACGGGTATAATATAGTAAAGTATAGGATATATATATATACATAGTTATAGATATGAGCATGTTTGCTTGGGGGAGGGTATCTTTTCCTAAGCCCTACACCCTCAAGGTCCTACCCTTTTTCCCTGTATACCAACTCTTGATGAACCCTAAACCCTAAACCCCCAACCCTTCGCGCCCTTAAACCCCTAAACCCTAAACCCCTAAAGCCTAAACCCCTCAACCCTAAAGCCCTAAACCCCTAAACCCTAACCCCAAGGGTCCCATGTTTGTTTCGGGGAGCGAGTATGCCTGCGAAGGTAGCATGCCGCTGCACCAGGACCATGTCGACCAGGAGGATCAGGAAGAACCCAGGCTGAGAATTCAGGTTTGGGGTATCATGGGTTTAGGGATTTGGGGTTTTTTTGGGGGTATCATGGATTTAGGGGCTTAAGGTTTAGGGGTTGAGGGTTTAGGGTTTTCAGGGTTTCGGGATTTAGGTTTAGGGTGTAGGGTTGGCAACTTTCTTTATACAGCAATAAACAACAGTGTTTACTTGCTTAAAGGGGATGGGGGAGGGATTACAAGGACCATGAATGAAGGGCTTAGGGTTCAAGGCTTCGGGACTACAGGCTTGCGTTCAGGGCAGGCTCATGCCTGTGCCAGGAGTTTAGACTCTCCGGTTTGGGGCTTAGGGTTTTAGGTTTTAAGGGATGCTGGTTCCCTACTGGAAGCATTCGCCCTGCCCCAGGATAGGAAAAAATGTGATGCCCAACAAGTGAAGAGAGCCCTGGCCCTCGCACTTGGGGAGCCTATGCAATTCCAGCGACTCCACAAAGCTGAAGATTCAAGGCTTAGGGGTGAGGGTTGCATATGCCCAGAAATCGATATTTCAGATTTCAAGGTTGACCTATATTACATACATCAGAGGCCTTTTGGAAGAACAAACCAGGTCAGAGACAAGGCACCCAAAACTGGAGCGTCTTAAGCACCTGTGCCTGTACCCTTTAACGACCTCAGAACTTACAAAAGCTTGCTACTGGCCACAAACTCAATCCCAAAACGGCTTTATAAGCCCCGAAAAGTCTCCCAGAGCTTCAAACGGTGAGGAACGGTCTTCATCGCTCCCTTGGCTTCAGGCGTGCGTTAGCTCTGAAGCGGGCTGAAGATATGTCAACTTAGGATTCTTTTTTAAATCCGGTCGCGTTTCACAAGATTGTCGGCGCTGATGTAGGAGTTTCGGGAATTTTCAAGTTTGAGTTTGATTGATTTTGGGGGGTTTGTGGAGTATAGTTGGGCGTAGGGTTCCCTTGCGGTTGATGATTTGGTTCCTGGATTTCTCTGACAGGGCCTACAGTTTAGATCTTTGGGTTCTGATGCAGCATGGAAGGAGCGTAGACCAGGTGGTGAGAAATGGAGCTTTGAAGATGGGAAATTTGGGTTTTGCAGAGTGCTCTGCGTTGACGGGAAGCAGGAAGCCAATTGCGCACTTTGACAATGGTTCCTGCAGAGTCACCGCAAGACATCCTCAAGCAATTGATGTACACCAGGTAGCATTCTCGTGAGTTGCACGCTGTCCGGGTGAGAGATGCCGTAATGCCTTCAGTGCTTTCAGCTGGCCGTTGTCAAGGGCACTAAACCCCAAACCCTAAACCCTAAAGCACAAGTTAGGCCCTGATACACCCAGAAAACACAGGTCCCGAGCCCCCTCTGAACCTTAGGGGAGACCCAATCCATCCTGAACAGTATAGTTTCCATTTTCTTTTCCAGTATCCCTCTACAACCCCTATATAATTCCTATAACTCCCTATATAACCCCCATATATCCCCTGTATAGGGCTTAGGGTTTAGGGGTTTAGGGTTTAGGCTTGGACTTGGGGAGTATGAGGGGGCCTGCGACGTATTTACGCCCCCTTGAACGCCCGCTTTGATGCGCTTGTAATCTGGGTTGCTGTTAAGGAACTTAAATTAAGTTACTATATTGGGGAAACCCTATTGTTTACTATATATACCCATTATGGTAACTTAATTTAAGTTCCTTAACAGCAACCCAGTAATGTTCCTACAAAATCATAGCTGACGACCGGCGCATGGTGTTCTCAAGGTCAGGAGTCAGCTTGTGCCCCCCCCCATTTGGCACAGCCTTCACTGTAAAAAAACTCCAGAAGAGCCCCCACAGATCTCAGAAATCCACCTACCGGCCCCATGACATTCCTGTAGAATTCTTCATGTGGGTGTTTCCGAGATGCTGAGCAATTCCCTGCAATTCCCTATGTCCCTGGGGTCCCTTTGGTTATCCCTGTTTTACGAAACCTTAGCCACTAAACTGTATGATTATACATCCCTAAAACCCCATTACCTTTACGTCGTCTGTACTTGTAGGGTAAGGTTCCCTAGACCCAAACCGCGTCCCAATATCGACCCCAATATACCAGCATCCTTCTCATTGCGACTCCCCGAATCTTTGGAAACTCCCCTGGGTTTAGGGCTTAGGGACACCTAAAACCCCCAAATCCTAAAACTCTAAACCCTAAAACCATAAACCTTAAAACCCGAATCCTTAACCACGAAACCTGATGACCTTCAAAGTCTGAAGTGCCAGGCCGTTGGAAGCCGCACCTTTGTGGAAACAGCTCTTGGCTCCCGATGCATGCCGTTCCTTACTGGTGCTTGAGGGGCAGTGGGGAGATGAATACGGGTACCATAGCAAGGGCGTATCCTTAAGTCCTCAACCTTAGATGTAAGCACTCCTAGACCCCTAAATTGCCTAAACTATGAGGATGACATAGGGATTCTTGCAAATGAGCCATCCCCTCACTCCCTCTTGAGCACCAGCAAAAGAGTCTAGAAGCAGCAAGACCACTGCAAGCAGCGTGTTGGAAATCCTTACAATGTAAAAACTTCACAGAGGTTACCTGCAACTGAGAGCAGAAGGTAGGTACACCGATGCAGCTACGGATCTTCTTACAGGGAGTTGGTAGGGAATAAGGGAGTATGTTACATAGGAATTAGATACGGAATGTATTTCCTTATTCCCTACGTACCTTAAATAAGTCTTTTCAGGCCTTTCTGCATTGCTGTCACTTGCTATGGGACAAAGCGCAGGCAGCTGTTGTGCGGAAGAGCAGAGCCAGGACACCAAGAAAAATGTTTTTAGGCGAGGAGCACCCTCGTCGTGTTGTTTTCAAGAAGACTTGCCACAACCGGTCGAAGCCAGTGACCACTCCGTGAACTCTCCTTTCACTGAGGATGATGTGCCTCATGGCCCTGTGTGCACGGAAGTGTCAGGATTAGCTTCTGTGGCTACAGTCAGTCCATACAGAAGCTGGGTTGCTGTTAAGGAACTTAAATTAAGTTACCATAATGGGTATATATAGTAAACAATAGGNNATACAGAAGCTGGGTTGCTGTTAAGGAACTTAAATTAAGTTACCATAATGGGTATATATAGTAAACAATAGGGTTTCCCCAATATAGTAACTTAATTTAAGTTCCTTAACAGCAACCCAGGAAGTGGACCTTCAGGGGAAGATGCATTTGCAAGGACCTCACCCTCAGACTGGGTGTCGACTGGGCAGGAAAGATCGCAGCAAGACTCGCAGTTGTATGTTGACACTGAAATTGTGCGCTCCATATCTCTGCTGTCCACATTACAGAGATTCGGGTGGCTTTGGCGTCTTCGTCCCGAGCAGGTTAGTCATGCTCAGCTGGATGCTGTATGGAAGAGGTCCGTTGAGGCAGAAGCCTTTGATGTCTTCCTGTCGCGTACATGGGCAACACCTGGGCATCTGAAGTATCTGTCCCTGCTGCTTAGCTCATGTTGGCATCTCGCCCTCTTGGCTTGGGCCGCGGCCGCGCTGCTTGTGATGTCCCTTTACATTTCGAGTCTCTTGCCTCTTCCCCTCAGAGCGTCGAGGAATGAAAATCTAATTCCCCGCGGAGAGGCGAGCTGGGCTCCATGGGGTTATCTGTCGACCTTTGCGTGTGCGCTCGGGGGACTTCTATGTGCACCTCACCTGCTTCCCCGAGTACGCAGGAACCCAGGGTGCTTCTATGATGTGGCCTGCGTCAACCAGGCAGACCCAGAACTGCAGGCACGCGGCATCTACGGGATTGGAGGGTTCCTTGCCATCTCAATGCAGCTGCGAATTCTGTGGAGCCCGCCCTACCTGTCCCGCTTGTGGTGTGTGCCTTATCTGCGCATTCAACAGCTTTTTGCAGGCTTGGGCATGTGAAGCAGTAGGACAGTAGTAGCTGGGTTTAGGGTTTCAGAGTTTAGGGTCGAGGGCTTACTTTCTCTTCACGGGCTTCAGGGTTTGTACCCTGGGGACCGTTTAGGGAACTGCTTTTGCGGACTAGACTTGAGGGACCCATATTGGGCTACATTGTGGTTATCTGGGGAGGCCCCCCCAACCCGAAACCCGTTTTGGGTACAACCGTTCAATCAGCAGCTTCTTCATTTCATCAAAAAGGAGTAGTAGCTGGGTTTCGGGATCCGATCCTTGGGCTTAGGAGGGGTTTTAGGGTTTACGGTTGGAGGGGTTTTCAGAGGGTCACGGGTTTTGGTTTGCGGGTGTAGGAGCCTAATAGATGTATATCGTCTACAAGAGTGAATGTTGCCTTCAAGTGTCAATCATCGTTGCCACTCAGGTCTTCGAAATTGCCGCCTACCGTAAAGCCAACCCCAACGGGGAATTGAAGCTGCAGCCAATGTTTGTGGAGCGCAACATCCTGCTGGCCTGGATTTGCATGTTCTTCTTTGTGGGCATGCTCACACTTGTGAGGTTGCCAGGTCATTGGCGAGCTGTTCTCGGTTTTTTGGCCTTCTATCCCGCCATTCACTTTATTCGGAAGGGTTACCAGCAGCAAGAGCAGATGTTCAAAAATCTTGCAGAGTTTGACTTGAACTCTGCGTCCTGCGCCAACGAGTTCGACCGGCAGTTCATTCTTTCAGCTGTCTGCCGATGGTATGGTAGCCTGGAGGGCTTCACTGACTATGTCCGCGGGCCTCTGAAGGAGGAGCTGACAGAAACTGTGGTCCTGGCCCGGGTACCGCTTCAGTATTGCATCCGAGTTGGCACATGAAAGCTCTGCCGTGTTTTTTAGATGTTTTCGTTCAACGGCATGCTCCACCAATAAGATTTCGTGTTTTCTTGTTGTGTTTCTGAGCATACCGCCAAGGTATCCTAACAATCAGCCCGCTCGTTGGATTCCAGTTGGACTACATAGCATCCTTCTTAAATGCTGGCGCATCTTCTGATGTCATTGCCCGGGTAATTCTGACGCAGATGGTGGCAATGAGTGCGACGGCTGCGTGCGCGGTGTACTACTTGTTCTGGTTGTGTCAGCGCTTCGCCATGCCTCGCTGTTTAAGCTGTGCAATGGACTATGTACAGACAGCCCTGATACTATGCCTCTTTGGCTTAGTATATGCCCCCCTCAATGTGATTTTCAGAGCCCTCCACTCTGGTCTGGCAGCAACAGTAGCTGCCGCAAGTATCTCGCTTGCCGTGTTTCTGATCATCTTAGCCAGTCTCCATTGCCCTTGTTGCACAAGGATTTTCCGGAGGAGGTGACTGCCAAGTGCAGGCCACCTCCTGCAGTCCTGAGATTTGTACATATATGAAAGGTCTGAAAATCAGCGGGTCCCTTTCTGGGGTTCCCTACAAAAAGGGGATCATCGCCTATGGGGATGTATAAGAGGCCCGGCTCTTTTACAGAAGCAACCGTATTATACATGCATATACATATATATATACATACACATATGTTAGTATTATATGTGCTATAGTCTAAGCTGCATAAGAACTGGTATTCTGGTCTGGCCAGGATGGGTTCAGGGTTTAGGGTTTAATATTTTGGCTATAGGGGTTATTCACCTACTTACTGAGTCCCCCTGACTCTCCAGGTAAGCCTTGTACAGCTTAAATCAGCGAGCCTGGGTATTTCAAGTTTTGATAGCCCCTCATGGCAGAACCGCTCCATCATGGAAGGTTAGGATTTGCGAATCAGGGCTTAGGGCTTAAGGCCTGGAATTTATGAGGGTTCAGGGTTTGGGGTTCGGGATGTCTCAAACATGGGGGTGCCAAAAGGGACTTGGGGAAACACAGGCAGTTAAAGGACATGAGAGGAGCACCCCTTAAGTTCGCACAAGGAAAGTTTTGAGAACTTCCAGACTGTTTTTGAGTGGGGTTTCTCTTGCCGAGGGTTGGGCAAGAAGGCGGCTGCAACTTAGCGGGCGTCTCGATCATTGCGCTGGAGGTGGTGCTCTTGAGTGCGCAAGCGAAAACCAAACTGGAACCCCAAAATCTGCACCCTCAAGCCGACGTGGACCCTCCCATGTAGTTCCTTTTTGAGTTTGGTATGGCTTGTGAGTAAGGCTTCTTATTAGGACCCACAAAAGGGTACTACCTTGGAGGGTGCAAGTAAGCCATGGTAAGCCCCAAATCCCAAGCCCATACCCGAAACCCTAGGCCCTAAGCCCGAAACAATGAGCCTGCACCTGAAACCACGCAAAAACCCACACACTTCGGAGCCCTTCCGAAATCTCTCGTTTTATGGTTTAGGGTTTAGGGTCTAAGGATTAGGATTCAGGGTTTAGCATTTTAGGCGCAGGGTTTACGGTTTAAGGCTCGGCGTTTAGAGTTCAGTCGCAGATCATTGCAGGTTCGGTGGGTGGAGGCAGCGGAGGCCTGGGAGCTCAAAAGTGACAAGGAGAAGGTTTAAAGCTTTAGGTCTTAAAGTTTTACAGCTGAAGGCTCACGCAGGTAGGGTTAGGGTAAGATTTAAGAGTTTAAGGGTTTACGGGTTTAAGGGTTTGGGTTTAGGGTAGGGGTCCAAGTACCCAGTGATGAAGTATTTCCCCAGAATCTGCGCTACGATTATCAGTACCATTGCATGGATTAAGGTAGAGGTTGAAGGATTCAAGGTTTAAAGGGGTTGACGGAAGGGATCAAGAGTTTTGGGGTTTGAGGTTTTCGGGGTTGGGGGTTTTGGTCAGGTGCGGGTTCCGAGGGGGGTTAGGATTTAGGTTTCTGAGGCCTGTAATCTAGAAAGCTGCAGAGGCCTTCATCATCAATGCTCTTTCGAGTCCTGAGTTCCCCCGCAACCTAATTTCTCGGTAATTAAGGTTGGGGCTAGTAAGGGGGGAACATATCAGGGAGGGCGGGGGGTAGTTGGAGAATCCAAAATTCAGGAGGCAGTGCGTAGTGTCTCTCAAGATGGGACCCCTGAGTTCCGCAGTTTTTGTGTGGATCATTCCGTGGAAGGAGGAATTTTCCACCACCTGGGGTCCCTAAAGTCCAAAGGAGTGCAGCATCTTTGGGGCGCTAAGTTGTAGCAAGCCCTCCCATGTTGCGCTTCCCGCTTCTCCACCATAAAGTCAGTAAGCCCTAGGTCCTGGACCCTGCAGACATATTGGCAGCTTGCACTTCCAATCATTCACCCACTAAGGTGGAGGAAGCCAGAGGGAACCCTAAACCCGATACCCTACACCCTAACCCGCGAAGGTGGAGGAAGTCAGGGGGAACAGCATCTTCCCTGGGATGGCAGGCTGCGAGGGAAGCGGGCTTGGGGTTTCGATTCCATGGCTTTGCTTAGGCTTAGGCCTTAGGGTTTAGGTTCTAAGGTCTAGGGTGTAGGGTTAGGCTTTAGAGCTGGAGCGTATTTTTCCTTTTTTTGCCAGGGTAGTTGTGGGTGGTTCATGCCCTCCCTCTTCCAACCCACACAGTCGGCAGCCACCTTATAGCCACCCCGAATATTTTGCTGGTGATCTCAAGCGCGTGTAGATATCTATATAGATATGAACATAGATGTAATAAAGTATAAAGATAAACATAAATGAGCATGTGTGTATATATATATGTGTGAATCACATAGAGCCCTATACAACACAATCCCCAATGACCCAAGTCCATGTAGATCGGGACCCAAGCGTGTAATTGCACTGTCATTGCACCAGCTGTGGTGTAGAAACCTGAATAGTTGGGAAGATTCTTTACGTGACTCCAAACCCTAGGCCCTAGACTCTAACCTTCCGTGACGGAGAGGGCTTCCTTTCAGATTCGTGGCTAAGAACAAGTGTTTAGGGTTCAGGGTTTGGGGTAAGTTGAGCTATGCTATTGATGGACGAAATCCAGCGTGACTCTACTCTTATATACGTATACTGTATGAACTGTCATAGTATAATACGCGTCATGCTTTTTTTTGTCTATCAACAGCAAATACAGTGAAGCGGGTTGTCAATATTGCTGTCCTACTGTGATTGCTGCTCACGGCTGCTGCTCACGACTGCCCATGAGCCTTCAAGCAGGACCCTGCCGGCGAGTCACATCCCATTCTTGCATAGGCTTGTCTACCGTGTGTGGATTGTAGTCGCTAGATTAAAAGCCTTCCAAAATTTCCTTTTTGTAGCAATCGGGGCATGCGAAGAAACTGAGGGCATTCTCCATGGAAGAAAGTCTTTCGCACAGGGATCCCCGAAACATACCTTCTTTGGAGACCTAATCCCCTCCCCCTAGTATTTAACCCTCCCACCCGCAAGGTTTAGGGTTTAGGCCTACCAACCCCCCTTAATATTGAATACTCCCCATTGTGGTATATTATAACATATTGCGAATATTTAATATTGAGTCGTGTGGGGGGGTAAGGGTTTAGGGTCTAGGGGGAGGGATTAGCTAGGCTCCTCGTGGCTGTGCTTTTCTTGCATCACCTGCGAGGCGCAAGCAAGCGCTTTCTGGTTGCATGCGTCCGGAGCTTAAAAGCTTTAGTCGGATAATTAGCTCTATACAGCAAGCTCTGAACCATGAGCCTTAAGCTTTAAACATTGAAACTCGTGCATACCATAACCCTATATGAATCCTTATCTGTACGCATCCTTTTTCATAACTCTGAACCCTGAAGCCCTACACCCTCGACCGTGTACGACTAGAAGCGACACAGCCGCTTAGTTAGGTCCGAAGTTCTTTTAGGGATGCAAGGGAGGTCTGGAATCATGGTTTAGGTTTAGGGGTCATGGAAAATATGATGGAAACTACTATAATATATTGGGAAAATTTTGGGATAATGGAAAATAAAATGAAAATTGCTATTTAGGGTTTAGGGTTTAGGAGGGGTCGGTTGGGTGGTTCAGGGCCTAATTGGGGATTCAGGGTTAGGAAGGGCTAGGAGGTTAAGCGGGTTAAGGATTCAGAGGTTTTGGGTGTAGGGATTCCGGTTTGGTTGGGTTGTTGTTGGCAAATATGTGTTTGAGAGCGCTTCAGGAGGAAAATGGTGACAATGCTGGCAAGAGATGTAGAAGAATGTGATGATTGTTTGCACAGAATGCTGCATATCCCCCTAGCCTACGCCCTAGATCCCTGGATCCTAAACCTCAACCCCAGGCCGTAAACCCCAAACCTTGAATCCTGAACCCTAAACCCTCAACCCTAAAACCCAAATCCTAGATGCCAGACCCTCAAGCCTCGAACCTACACCCTATGCCCTGAACCTACAGTGCATCTACTGGATAAGAAATGGGTCCCCCAGGCGTAGGGTACCCTTCAGTTCTTAGCTAAGCAGCATTTTCACATTCCTATTA